TCCGGCAGTGGGGCCGGGGTGTCCGGCATTGGGGCCGGGGTGTCCTGCAGAGAGGCCGGGGTGTCCGGCAGTGGGGCCGGGGTGTCCGGTGGTGGGGCCGGGGTGTCCGGCAGCAGGCTCAGCTGCTCCTCAGGCTGGTTATGTGCAGGCAGAGTGGCTTTTTCACTGCAAGGTGGCCACAACAGGCTGCCAGGGAACAGTTGCAGCATTGGCTGAAACCACAGAGTGGCCAAAACCTGTGAGGCTGAAAGCCCAAGAGCACCAGGACACAGGCTGCGTGTTAGTTCCCCCATGAATTCCACCCTAAAAAGGGCTGTACACCTGTGGTTCAGTATTGCCATACCAGTTCTGGTGCTAGGGCAGGTGGTGTGGTTTCCTCTGGGGTAGCCAGATGTGTCTCTCAATCCTGGACACTGAAAACAGTTCACTTGCTTCATGCAATCGTGTATTTTCACTACAGTTTACATGTTGATGTTTAGAAGCTGCTGACTTATAAGGCAATGTATTGGTAAGAGACTGTAGTAATCCAGGCACTTTCCATGCCTGCCTCATTGTAAACACTTCCTTTATGAGCTGCAGACTAAGTCTGATTCATCCTCCTTGCTGGTGACAAATGCCCTGAAATATTTAAAGGAGGAGCAGGAGACAGTGTAAGTTCTTGGATTCATGTTTTCTGCCCTAGCAAAATTTTGGCTTCCTACCTTTGGAAGCTGAGATCACTTTGTGCTCACTTTCCCTTCTTTCTCTGGAGGCTTGTTATCTGTTAGGGCTGAGCTGAGCTGTTCTCCCCAGCAGATGAGTGGATTTGTGTTTGGGGGCACAAATCCTGCCCACAGCAGGCACCCACCCACCCAGCAGCCTGCAGCAGCATTCCCACTGCCCCTGGGAGTAAAGCTGGAAGGGCTCAAGTCCTAAGGATGTTCTCAGGTCTGGTGAGACCCAGAGCAAACCCATGGGGTGGCTTCAGCAGCAAAGCAAAGGCCATGGAGGGCAAATGGGGAATGCTGCCCAGGGCAAATGGGGAATGCTGCCCAGCTCTGGTGTGGGCTGCCCTAAAGTCGGTGGCTCTGACAACAACAGCAGAGGCAAAGGTAACAACAAAAATTATCATTCTGCTTTGCTATGACCCAAATTGCTCACACCAGGACTGGAGGGACAAGGAGGCAGGTTTAATCCTGCAACAGCAGCAAGAAAGGGCTGTCTCGTAGCTGGCAGTGGGTGACAGTGTAACTTTGATGGCTGAGGGACTGCTGGTGCTGGGGAGCCACTGAAGCCCTCCAGAAGCTGCTCACATGAGCAGTGCAGGGACACGAGGAGCTGCAGGGCCATGGGAGGGGGGCACAGCTGCAGGATTCTGTCACTGAGCTCAGTCTCATGCCTGCACTGAGTGCTCTTTCCTTGCAGAGACAGCCCAACATGGACAACTGCACTGACAGTGATGCACAGCGCAGCATTGCGGTGCTTCAGCTGGTTGTGTACATCCCAGTGCTCGCTCTGGGGATCCCACTGAACACAATTGCCTTCTGGGTCTTCTGCTGCAAACTCAAGAGGTGGACGGAGACCAAGGTGTACATGATCAACCTCATCGTGGCTGACAGTTTCCTGCTCTTCACCCTGCCTTTCCTGCTGTATTTTACCAAGTACAAACACCCCATAGATCAGCTGTGTTTAGCCATACAAAACATCTATTTTACAAACATGCCTATGAGCATCCTTATCATCACCCTGATTGCGGTTGATCGATACATTGCAATCAAGTTCCCTCTAAAAGCAAAGGTTCTTCGATCCCCACTGAAATCAGCTTCTGTCTGTGGTTTTCTTTGGATAACACTGATAATTTATTCCAATTTGTATCACACACTTCACAGTAGCTGGGAAGGTTGTTGCTTTCGGAGACAATCTATTACACCTAGATATTCCTCTTTATTCACCAGTGTCTGTGGGTATTTTATTCCATTAGGGATTATGATTTTTTGCTCAGTACAAGTCATCAGATGTCTAAAGAAGAAGATGGTTTCAAGTCCTCATGAGACAAAATTATTCCAGAAGGCCGTGCACATTGTTTCTGTGAATTTGTGTGTGTTTACTGTCTGTTTCTCACCATTCCACATGTCACTGCTCTTGCGGTTTGCAGTGGAAGTTGCTGGAGCACATTCTCTGATCCAGGGAGTTACAACCTATCTTAAGGTCTCTGCATGCTTAGCAAATTGTAACTGCTGTCTGGATGCATTTTGCTATTATTTTGCAGCCAAAGAATTCCCAGAGTTTTCTTCTATGTTCCCCAAGTGTACATTTATGAGGTCCAAGATGAACCAAACTGAGGAGTCACAGCCACCCACGGATCAAGCGATAGTATGAACAAGGTGTAGTGCATGACTGGTGTTGAGTGCCACAATGCTGCTCAAGTTTTGAGGCACAGGGAATGGAACCACCTACAGTGTTTGCAATCATTGTAGGTATATGTACAAAAAGGGGAAACACCTCCAAAGGGTCTGATGTTAACTTGAATTTTGTCCTGCTGTCTTCAGTGCCTTGACTCCAGCTCTGACCACTGTCTCGTATCGTTGCATCGCAGCTCCAGACGCCTCCTGGTGACAGCTTGTCTTGGTTGGCTTCATGGCCTATAACTTTCAGTATCTTCTGACTTGTAAACCTCTGAAAAATCTCCTCCTGGGACTGCAAGCTCATATTCTGCTCATGTAAACTTAGAGGCATTTGGCAGACATCACGGGGGAAGCTGCAGTGAACAGCTGTACAACAAAACCAGAAAAAACTACTCAGGTCATTCAGCTGATAATTCACGTGCCAGTTTACTTCACTGGTGTATTTTCTAATGCTCTGGCATTACTGGTATTTCACTGCAAGCGGAGCAAGTGGCCTGTGTGACCAGTTTAACCACTGAACACTGTTTAGCCCTCATTCTGCCTTCTAAATTATCTTTTCACAGATGGGAAAAGATACGGAAGACAAATAGTGCCCAATCTTAACAACCATCTATTGCTTAAGGAGATGTGTGAGTGTTGTCACCCCTATAGCCATCAACAAATGTGCTGCAATTAACTGCCCTCAGAAATCAAGAGGCTTCTTGGCAGACATCTCTTACAATCCTGGCAAGTTGGTGTTCAGCAAGGAAAGACACTTCTACTTCAGGAACAGCACAGAGAGCCTTCAAAAACATTTTTGGACCTAGAATTCCCTTCTGGAACCTCACGTCTCATTGCTTATAATGAATACCTGTTCCAAAAAAATTATTATGGGTTTTTTTTATTATTTTGAAAAAAGATATGAAGATTTGTATCAACCTGTTAACCTACTGTTAATCTAGAAAGCAAACAACTTGCTTGGTTTTGCAGATTCAGTCATGCTGATGTTTTCTCTCAGTTAACTTGCAGAATTGTTCAGTTTCCAGTGGGCTCCAAATAGGTCATCTACTCTGAAATACAGAACAGCAATGCTTTTATACATGTAGCCTCACATACAGGTCTCATAAATGTTCCTTTTTCTCACTTTTTAAAGGAGAAATTAGTTGACTTCCCAGTCTCTGTCATCATTAAAATTTTTTGCTGTTTCCACTGAATGCTATGAAAACAAACAAACAAAAAAAATCCATACTTTTGCAAGTGAAAAGAAAGGTGTGTCATAGTAATATATCTATAAATAAACATTCATTTATTACCTTTCTAAATCAGAGTCCTCTGCTCTTAATGCTATACTGGAAACTGGGAGGAAAGACTTTGCTACCAAGATACAAGATCTGCCCTACAGCAAGGTGTTTAACGGTGAAGCCCAAAGATGAGCAAGGAACTTTCTGATTATCTGAAGATGCATGTTCTACCCTGGACAAAAATTACTATCTTTTTTATATGTACAGTTTAGGATGGGTTTCTGGCATCCTCCTTCAGTCTGAACCATGCCTCAGCTCCCTGAGTGCTCCCAGTAAATGGAATAGATGAGTTATCAGACCTAAGCCACAGCAAACTGCTGGCCACCACCCAGCACTGCAGTAGCAATCCAGGAGGATGGCGACACGCTTAACCCCAAATCTTTTCCATTTCCTAGCACAGGAGGCTGGGAAATGGTAGTGGGGACCAGCCACAGCTGCCAAAGCCCATCAGCTGCCCCAAACAGCAGGGCTAAACCGCTGCATTTTACCAACATTTCTGCAAGATACAATTTTCTGGTCCCTTAAAAGAAAAATGCTAATAATGGCTTCCACTTCAGGCTTGAGGAAAAAAAACCCAAAAAACCACAAGGAAAAGCCTACAAAGTAATTCAGAATCTTGCTTTTATATGAGTGAGTGAGTGAGTGAGTGAGTGGCCATGGGATAAAGCATTTGTGGCCCTCCTATGCATGGAAGATAGGGGCTGGAATAAGACAGTATTTTGCTGTTTCGTGGCATTTGGGCAGGCCTGAAACCTGAGTTCTTACCAAAGGTTTGATCTCCAGGGGGCTCAAACAGGACAGATCCTGGGGAGCTGTGGGCTGGGTGCTGCTTTCAGGTGTTGGAGGCATCTCTGATTTTGTTTCCTTGGTGCAGCACAGCTCTTCCAGTGGTGAGCACTGCCTGGAAGCTCCAGGGAACTCCACAAGCACTGGGACAGCATCAGGCAGCTGGGAAGCACAGGTAGGGCTTTTCCATGCCCTGCCCAGTGTGTGTGCACAGATACTCAGCTGATCCCTGGTGCTGCTGATGCCTTAGGATTTTAGCTTTTATATTTGTCATGTATTTGTAATCCTGCAGTTCTTTAGTGTGTAACTCCAAACTCCACACACAGTGTGAGCTGCTGCTTTCCCATTTGGCTCAGACACAGCAATTCCTCTCCAGGCCTGGCAATCAAGGACACCTCACTGCCTCAGGCTGAGAGATGGAAACAAAAGGGAGTTGGGGCAGCAAACTTGGGGTAAATGAGTTCATTCCCTGAAGCTGGAATTGGAAAATTAACCCCTAATGTGCAAATGGACCAAACTGATAAAAGTGTGAAAACCCGTGACCCATCATCCATTTTTGGGTGCAGCCCCTGGGGGCTTTGTCTGCCCTAAATGTACCTGAAGGCCCTTCAATAAACAGAACTTTTTACTATCCTAATATTGTCTGGGCTCTGTTTTTAGGTAGCCTGAAAAGGCATCGCTGCAGGAGCATGGGGAGGGTTGCAGCACACTCTGATCGGGTTCTCTGCTGCGGGCAGTTCTGTGCAGCTGGGGAAGGGGAAAGGGGAAACAGCCCCAACAGGCAGGGCTGGTCACTGTGTGGGATTGCTGCACTTAGCCTCAAACTGCCATTTGGCATGCTGAAAGTAACACTGACGTGTTTTGCTCTCACCCCTGCAGTTCTCCTTTGGTCAAGTTGTGCTGTTGCACCATCCCTTCTTGCCGTGAGAAAGGCAGGAAACAAAGCATGCAGGGCAGAGACGTTCCAGGAGTTGCAACCAGCAGGGCACAGGGATGCAGGGGAGATGGAGATTTTCCCTGGCAGGGAAAGGAAGCAGGAGTCCATCAATCTGTCTGTCAGCAGGCTGTACCAGTGGTTCTTTACCTTACAGAAATATTTTGTCCCACTGGCTACTTTCATTAAGAAAATCACTTTTCCAGGCACAGTGTGGAGGATGCTGGTGCCAGTGCAAGGTCCTTTGGAGCTCGCTGCAGGCAGCATTGCAGCCTGTACAGGCAGCAGTGCTGTGCAGTGCTGCTGGGCCCCGAGAGCTGCCAGCAGGGAAGGGAGAAGGCGACACGAGTGTCACCTCCACTGCGCCACACGGTGACAGCACTCGCGGGACTGAGACGGGCTGAGAACTGCAGAGGCAGGGGAAATACCGAGCGAGCACCATTGGTCCATGGCAGGGCTGATGAAAGCCGTGAGTGCATGCAAGGAGGGGACTGTGAGCAGCTGCACAGGGTGGCTGATGGGGAGTCGAGGTGGAGAGAAGGACGGGGATCCTGATGCTGTAGTGGCCAGGAATCAGGCACAGACCCAAGAGCCTCAGCAGGAGACTGTGAGTTCTCCACAAACAGCACTTTGTCTAGCTTTGCCTTTGCTGCTGCTGAGTTTGCTTGGACACATCCTGGTGAACCTGCTGCTCACAGGCAGCTGCTTTGTGCCTGGTGACATGGCTTCTCCCTCTCTTGAGAACTCACTGGGCTGATGAGACCCTCATCTGGCAGCCACAGCACGAAGCTGTGGGTGGGGAGCATCAGACTGGAGAGGTGCTGTGAGCTGAGCCTCTCCAGGAACAATTTTGACTGCTCATGGTTTATACCACTAGAGAACAGCACTTGAGGATGATGCAAAGCTTTTTTTACAGTGGTGAAACTATCACAACCCAGAGGCTGGATGACTTGGAAAACTAAAATACCAACAAGGACAATGACATAAATATGTTGTTGGTTGGGGATCAATGAGCTGGCCATACCAATATGTCAGTAACTACTTGTAAGCATCCACCAGGGAGCAGCCCCAAGAAAGGCAAAAGCAGTCCCTGGAAAGCCAGAAGCATGTGATGTATTCTGACTGTACACTGGCACAGAATTATTCTCAAGGGGTGGCTTGTGGTGTGCAGACAGACAATGCAGAAATACTCCGGAAGCTGCTCTAAGATGACCTGGAAAGCGGAAAGGAGAAATATGTTTGCCCAAGACAGCAATTCAAGGTACTAATATCAGGACCTTTAAGCTCATTGATCAACTTGTCTGAGCTTTTCTGGTAAATAGGCTGCTGTGGGGAGCCCAAGAGCAGCCCCTGGGACGCAGGCACCTGCAACCACAGAGCAGCCACAAAGCCAGCAGGTCACAGGGTCACAGTGCCACGTTTTCTCGGAATTGCTGACTGAGAAGAACTATGGAAGACAAGAGAATTACCATGATTCAGAGTGAAACGCTTTATAATAATCGCAAAAGTGCCTGCAAACCACTGCCCTCACCTCTCCAACAACTGCTGTTAGGGCTGTTCTGTCCCAGGGCTCGGGCAGTGTGACAACAGACGCCACTCCTGCTCCAATCCCAGCAGAGATGGCACTGTGGAAGGCAGAGGGAAGACCTCAGGACCTTCCAGGGCAATGGGTCCCCTCCAAGCACAGTCTGTTGGGTGAGGAGGGCCAACAGGCATTGCCCAGTGGGACACCAGGCAACGGGAGGTAAAGCAAAGGAAAAACCCAAAGCTATCCCATCACCAGGGGAACTGCTGCAGGGATCCATGGCAGACAAGCCTTTCACCTCCTGCAGGATTATTGCAGGCTCCTCTGGCAGCAGGAGGTGTACAAGCCACACCGACGGTGATGACAGAGGAAGCGCTGCCCTGCGCTCAGGAGGAGCAGCGTTGCTGCTCTCACAGCCAGCAGCAATTGGTGATCAGAGGACACCTCTCTGGTCATGTGTAAGGAGCACTGCTCGTCGTGCCTGCACAGCGCTCCACGGCTGGGCTGGAGGAACTCACTCTCTCCAAGGACAGCAGGAGAACAGGTAATTTCTCCTGGCTATTTACTGACACGCTTATTTGAGTTCTGCGAGGCATCGCCTTTCCCCAGCCATGGTGGGACCCCAGAATAGGGATGGAGAAGGAGAGGGCTGGAGCCAACATATTCCCAAAGGTTCATTTTGATACTGACCACATCTGACACGTTTTCGGATGCTTAAGGGCTGTCTCAGCCTTTGCTGGATCTTTTCTAGGTCTCCCTGTTATGATCTTCCCTTATATCTCACGGGCTCATAACTCATTTCTCATGTCCATGGGACAGAGCTGCTGCAGTTATCACATTCCCTCACCTCTTCAGAGGTCTGCTGCCATGATTCCTTTGCTGCATGATTTTCAGAGCTAACCAAGACCCACAGATGCACGTAAATGCTGCAGCAGTGCCTTATGGTTTGCTTGCTGGGGATGCTTTTGAGACCCATGAACCCCCCTCCATGGAGCCACGTTCCCCTTGCAGGGAAAACCCAAAGACATGTCAGACATCCTGGGTCTTTTCTGTCCATGAACAGTTGCACCTGGAATGTGCTTCTGCATTAACTCCTCCAAAGCTGGAGGGCAAGCAGCAATTGCCCTTAGATCCACCCGCCAGGCCAAGCATAGGTCACCTCTTTCACATGGCTGCTGGTCACATTCCATGGCATCAGTGAGTTTCTTTTTTCTTGGAATTGTGGCAGTTTGCTGTAATACTTTTGAGATAAAGACCAGCTTTGACAATCCTTGAATGGCAGGGAGCAGACCCAGTACTCCAATTCTCAGTGCAGAGTACTGGATATTGAATCTGATGGCAGCTGAAACTAGTGAGAGACCCACTAAGAGATACACTAATAATTGCTCATACCACTAATGAGAAGTGATGCAGAGGCATCTCAGGACTGAGAGAAAGGACAGCTGTCCTTCTGCTGCACGTCCAGAACATTTTAAGCTGTGAGGACACCAGCTGGCTTCCACTGAGCCCTGCTATAAGGGAAAGGATGAGAGCTGGATTTAGGCATCCCCTTCCCATTATCAAATATTTGCAATGGCTCACATAACTCCTTGCTGCAGGATCTGCTGCTGCCTGATCCAAGTCTGAGCCAAAAGAGGGGCCCAAGCCCTTTTCCCTGCCACCCTTCAGGAGCAGACTTCCCCACAAGGGACCCAGGGACAATCTAATTTTTTCTCTCCTTCACAACTGATCAGGCTTGTGTCCCTGTCCCTCTCCTTCCCACCAGGTACCCTGCATCAGCTTTTTATGGCTAGTAAAGGCCTGAACTGTGTCAATTAGAATCAATCACTGATTCAGTCCAGAACCTCTCTTGTAAAAGGCTCAATTCACTTTTGCAGGACCTGTACATTTTGCTACTCCCAAAATGAACCGCAGCAGCTGCAATATCACAGCCTATGAAATATTTTCACTTGTCCAGCTGTGTGTTTACATCCCAGTTTTGGTTTTGGGCATTGTGCTGAACGTGTTGGCGCTGTGGGTGTTCTGTTGCAAACTCGGCAAATGGACAGAAACCAGAGTATACATGGTCAACTTGGCTGTGGCTGACTGCTTGCTGCTCTTCACCTTGCCATTTAAAACTCTGTCCCAGTTCCAGCACCTGAAGGTCGACGGGTGGTGCCTGGTTCTGGAAGGTTGCTATTTCATAAATCGCTTTATAAGCATCAGTATCATCACCATCATCGCCACTGACAGGTACCTTGCAATCAAATACCCCTTGAGGTCCAAGGCACTGAGGTCGCCGCTGAAGGCAGCTTTTGTCTCTGGTTTGCTTTGGATGGTCATCATCTGTGAGACTTCCCTCATTAAAAGGTTTGAGGACCGAAGAGAAGATGAGTTTTGCTTTGAGAAATCTTCTGTGACGCCCTCAGTGATCACACTGTGTACCATTATCACGGGGTTTTTCATACCGCTGCTCATCCTGAGTTACTGCTCCATACAAATCATTGCAGAGCTCAGGAGGAAGAAGAACGAAAACAATCACAATGCAAAGCTAACCAGGAAAGCTGTCTACATTGTGTCTGCAAACATGGCTGTGTTCATCATATGCTTTTTACCTCTTTACCTCGGGCATCTCCTCCGCTTCATCGTGGACTCCGTCAGCTCCGACTGCTCGGCAATACAGAGCATTAACAACTTTGTTCACTTCGCCTCCATCCTCGCCAACACCAACTGCTGCCTGGATGCCATCTGTTACTACTTTGTCAACAAGGAATTTAAGGAAGCATCTTCCAAGCTAGCAAAGTCCAAATCTGAGGCCAGTGAAGAAGCTAAAATTCATCTCCCACACATAACACATTAACACAAAACACGTACAGCACGTATTTTATGTTTGCCCTCTTCAACTGGGGCTCGCTAGCAGGGTTTCACACTTGATTTTTTAGAAGAGTGGGATGGAGGGACATTCTACTAATGGGAAGCATTCAGATACACGATTCAGCTCTGAATCAGACAAACACAGCAGTCCAGATCCTGACCTAATGATCTCGCTTGCCGCTGACAATTCTCTGCCTTAATGCAAATTTGCATAAAATGATAGATTTCCCCTGCCAAAAATCCCCTATCTTTCATTTTCCCTTGAAACCCAAAAGAAGCATAGGCTGTGTAATGGTAAAGGATTGGGTTTTGTCTCTCATCCCCGCTTTGGATCAGTGTTTGTGCAGCTGTGGCTAAGAAACAGGCTATTCCAAATATCAACAAATTTAAAAAAATCAGAGTGAAATCATGCAGAAAAAGAAAGGATGGTGTTTCTAGAAGTCACAAACATACTGGTTTTTAGTTGCTAATAATGCACAATCCCATAACAGGCATTTTTAGCTTGCTTTAAAGAACTTTACAGCAATGTAACAGCTACAGAAAGGTCACCATTACAAAACAAGGTCAGAAGAAATTGCAATTGTTTGTACTGGGGAAAAAGTTTTCATCAAAAATGTTTGAGTCAAATGGCATTAAAATTAAATAAAAAAGTTGGTGCAGGGCAGTGGGAACGAGGACTCTGTATTAGGACTATATTCTACCTTTTAATGTAAAGGATTGTCTAAAAAAAGTGGTAGCCAAGCTGTTCCAAAGAAATCAACCTAAATAAAGTTGTGCCACTGGCATGGAATTCAGTTTCTTGCTGAGTGAAATGGAAAAGGTGGGAGATGCTGTCTGTCCAGGAGGGACAGCTTGCTGGTGTCCGAGCCAGGGGCAGTGGGAATGAACTCCCTCTGGGACTGGGATTTTCTGAGCAGAGCAGAGCGTCCCACCCTGTGATGATTTTACCACAAACACCCAAGGAAACCAGTCAGCAGCTTCAGACCCCACACCCTGAGCTGGGCTGTTCCACACACACACACACACACCTCCACTCACACCTCCCAGCCCCAGGCTGGGCTGCTCTATTTGTCTGGGGACAAAACTTCCAAAGGGGTTTTTCTAGAAAGCAGATTTAAGTGGCCCTTTGCCCAATTGCTTTGGGAAAATATTTCTTTGGAGAAAAGTGGGAAAAAAGCTGTTTATTTAACAAGCAAAGTATTCACAAGTATATAAAAAAAAAAAGAGTAATATTAAGCAATACAATTTCTCGCAGTTCTGAAGAGATGGCAAATTCAGAAAATCCTTCTCATGGGGTGTAGCTCAGCTCACTCAGGCTCTTCCCAGTCCCTCCAGTGCAGCATCCCAGGCCCCAGTGGGCCCCAGTTGTGAGCTCCTGGGGTTTGTCTGGGTTTTCAGTCCAGAGCACACTGATCAATTCCAAGAAAAAGAAAAGCCTGGGGAACTTCTCTTCTTCAGTTAGCTAAAAAAAATAACTAAGAAGCAAAGGAGAGCTCTTTCTTGCTGTCTGTGCTACAGACAACAGTTTGTGAGAAGGAATGCTGGGGAGCAGGTGCAGTTTCTGAAAACAAATTGTGTGCTTTTTAAATTCCCCTTTGCTCTCAGAACCAGCCTTAAAGGTGCAGAACTTAATATCCAGATTTATTGATTGCAGAACTTAATACCCAGCATAAACACAACAGATGGTTTGGGACACAAGCATCATAAAGTCACTCTAGGACAGCTGCCATCCACCTGCTGCCACAAAAAACATCCTCACATTTCCCCAGCCCTGCCTTTGTGTCTCCTCCAGTGCCAAAAGGAGGAGCCCCCTGCTGCAGACAGTGATTGAGCAGAGCTCTCCATCCTCCTGGGCAGTGGGGACAGCAGCAAAACCCTGCCAGCTTCCTGAGGGGGATGCAGGCTTCTGGCCATGACAGAAATGGGGATAGCTGCCCTGTAATCACCAACTTCTGAAGGCAGAATCTTTCCTTTGCTTACCACACAGTGGGGAGGGAAAGGAGGAGAGGCTCTGGCTGCAAAGATCTCTTGAGGAGTTTGTTTTACCTTCCCTTTTCTGCACTTGCATTTTCTTTGCAAAGATCAAAGCAGCAGGAGGAGGGGTGCTGTGCATGCAGAGATGGATTATCTCTGGATAAGGGTCTCTTCCCTTGGTGCTTCCCCAGCCCTTGGTGCTCTCCTGCATGGCTGAGTAACACAGGCACTTCTGTGATCTGATGGATTGTTCCCCAGTAAAGCTCAACAGATCATTCTCTCCCCAGTGTAGGGTGAGATTTGAGGGATTACCTGATGCCTGTGTGTTTTTTCTCTACCTCCAGTCTCACCAGCAAGGCTGGGAGCTCTTCAGAGGCAAAAGCTCCGCACAAACCAAACTGTTGTTTAAGATGGGCAAGAAAAAACCACTTCTACTCCACTAACCGCTAATAAAAAGGGTGGGGGAGATAAAAAGCAGCCAGTAAACAAAGCATTTCCGAGCACACTCTGCTAACCCACCTAACTCCTAGTAACGCCTCTTCCTCTGGCAGCTGTTCACCCAGAGACACACCATGAATGCCTGGCCTGAGGCAGCCAGGCTTCCTCCCCACAGAACCTCCCCAAAGAACCTCCAAAATGTCTGTTCTTCACCAGCCAGGCAGGGCACTCAGGGATTCACGAGTGCTGGGGCTGAAATATGTGCCACAAGGACCAAGAAAACCCCTCAAGTTCCCCAGCTAGAAAACTGGTTTTTACTGTTCTGTCTTTTGATTTTCCCATCTGGAGCTTTCAGGCTCAGATTTGGTAGAAAGTGTCCTCTTAATTCATGGCCCACCTGGCCAAGCTCTCCCACCCCCACAGAGAAGAGGTAAGAGAAGAACTAAGCAGTGAGGAGGCAGCAGTGATATATACAGGTATTTCTGGTGGGCTCAGCAACCTCTGGGAGACAGGGGGCATCCAAGCACTTGCCAACAAGACACTGATCCTTCCACTCCTACCTGGAAGGCAGACCACAACTATCCAGGCACTGCAGGCCTTGCCTGGCTTGCTTTTATCTTGCTGCAAAAACCTCTCACCACATCTGCCAGCTTTAACCATGTGCAGCATTTAACCACGTGCAGTTTAACCTTCATAATATGGAATGCACTCTGCCTTTCAGATTTCCCAGGTCTCTCTGGAGCAAAGTCTGGACAACACCAACATTAAGCTTGCCAGGTGAGGAGGGCACAGGTGGAGAACCTCCTCCTCTCAGACTGCCTGAAGCTGCAGACTCCGTCCTGCCCTCACCAGCAGCTGCAGGACACAGGCAGCACAAACACCTTGCACTGGCAGCTCCTGCACTGGAATAATCCCACGGTTCTGTGAATTGATGACAAAGCTGGATGCAGCCAGTGTCACACCTGTCAAAACCACCGAATGGATGTGTTACAAAACCAGATGGAAAACCAGATTGCAGCGCTGGAGGTGGCTGCACAGGCAGGACACACACACAGAGTGCAGGTACACGTCCAAACCTGCCTCTGACTTTCGTGTTGGTGCTCACAGAGGTCTGGTAACATCTCACATCAGATTTCTTGCTTGGGGCTTTCCATTTGCTTTTGTTGTCACATTTTAACAACGAACCCTGCTGCCAGCCAGGGCGGCTGACTGAAAAACGAGAGTTCAGCTGAATGTCAGGTGTGGGGGGAAAGTGTGAAAGCTGCTACCAAGAAGCTGTGACATACTTCAAAACCATTTTTGTCAAAGACAAAAAAAGAGGACACTGCTGGGGAAGTGAAAATTGGGGTGGCTCGTTATCGTTGGCTTGGAGTAGAAGCAATGTCTCAGTTTCTGAATGAAGGCTCAGAGACATCACTGGCTCTCTCTGAGGGGATGAGCTGTCCTGCACCAGCCAGGGACAGTGTGACACCATGAACTCCTCATTCCCTAACATGCTAGAAGGCTGCAGCATCTGCAACCCTGCCCCTCAGAAACCCTGGCAGTGCTCTGGCAGCACTTTGCTTTACTAACTTCAAAATTCCATTTCTGCCTCCTAACACTTTTCTATCAAGGTGAGCACTCTAATTCTGCCTTTCTGGCCCTTGGCTCTCCTGCCAGGCTCCCTGCTTTGGTTCAGTAAAAATCTGGCACAGATACATCAGGCCTGACTTCCATCAGCCTCAAAGCTGAAAGAATAATTCTGTAAGTCTTTAGCCCTTGGTGGCTACCACAGGACACAGTTAGAGGCTTGCTCTGTGTTGCTGTACAAAAACAGGCTCCACATTTCCCCCAAAAGTCACACTGCACTGCCTGGGGACCAAAGGACCAGCAGTTGTCAGTGCCACAGCAGAGACTCTGCCCCATGTCCCCAGTGCCCTCCCAGGGCTCACACAGCCCCTCTGCACTGCTGCCCCTCGTTCATGACTTCCTTGTGTTTACTTCTTTGTGCCACAAAGGTTTTTCACTGCCAGCTCTTCCTGAGAAGAGCCCGTGGTGGCTGAAAGAAAGAAAGAAAGGAGCTGCCTGGTCTGACCTGGTGCCATGGCAGAGAGGCAGCAATGGGCATTTCCTCAGCAGCCAAGAGAGCCAGGAGTGATCTTGGGGCAGGAAGGAAGAGATTCTTGTTTAAGCTGTAATTTAACAGTAACATCTCTTACTGCTGCTCACTTCATTGCTTTGCTAATTATTCTTCTAAATGGAAGAATGCAGCTGATACCCCAATATCAGCTTTCTAATCCCCCACTAACCACTGAGCCATCAAGGAAAATTTTAAAAAGTCCTTTATTTTACCACTCCCAAGCTGCTTCCTGACACATTCTGAACACTGCCCATGCCGTGCCTGGGGGCTGTCCCCTCTGCCAGGCTCTGTGCCTGGGAGGAGCACACCCAGCAGTTAAAGTAAAAAAAATTAAAATTGCCTTTAATAACATGGGAAGGGAAGGGAAGGGAAGGGAAAGGAAAGGAAAGGAAAGGAAAGGAAAGGAAAGGAAAGGAAAGGAAAGGAAAGGAAAGGAAAGGAAAGGAAAGGAAAGGGAAAAGAGAGAGAAAAGGCCTCCCACAAAGATGTGGGCACAGCAGAAAAAGCACTCTGTTTCAGAAAGATAACGTTTTCTCAGAGTTTGCATTTAAAGACTCATCCCAGGTTTGGACTCTCCTGCTGGTGACAATTTATCTACATCATCCTTGTGAAGCAGATTTCAAGTGAAAACACTGAAACCAGTTATGAAATCCAATCTATTTCTGGTTGTTTTGGTTTTTTTAAAAGCAATTCACATGGGCTTGTGTTTGCCAATAAATGCCAGGCTGACTTATTTTCACTGGTGTATTTCAACAATTTTCCTCATAAACACAAATTCTCACTTCTCCATTTACCTTCCCTTGAAACATTTCCCTATTTAACATTTTAACATCTTTAATTTCCTGGTAAAAGTGATGCAAGGAGGGCTTGACCTTCTGCTTTCACGTGGGGGTGTGTTAGCCAGAGGTTAAAGAGTGTGAGTCACTTCTGGGCCACTTCCAGCTGCACAAAGGCACAGCACATCAGATGGCACAGAGAGAAGGAGCAAATCACAAAAGCTGGTTTTTGTGCAGTTCAAACTTCCCCTCCAGTGCTGGCAAAGGCCCTGACAGTGTGAGGAGGGACACAGGGGCCATGCAGCTCCCTGCTGCAGCACACACACTTTGTCCCCTGGTTTTGGCTCTGATGGTTGTGCTCTGTCCCCAGCACAGGCCTGGCCTCTCCCCCTGCATGCTTCATTCCTGGATCTGCACTGGAGCCATCCCACAAACCTCTCCTCCCTTTAAGGATGCATAGGGAAGCTCTGGTTGACTTTCAGG